ACTTTGAAGTCAGTAGAAGTTTTCTTTCTATCTTCTGTGGAGCAGGACCACATAAATGACGACCTAATCCACTGAGGAGCTCTTACATGTCAATGCCTAATGCAAAAGACAAATCAGAAAGTCAATCTTCATGATTTCATACCTTTCACATTTTACCACCGATACATGATTCCTTTCACAGCTTAATGAAAGTCACCACTACTCCTTGAATGTGCTTTAGGAGTCAGAAGCGGCCCTCTTTTGGAAAATTTTAGGACCAAATGAATTTTAAATCAGTGCAATTTTCAGGTTTTGGAAAACAATGTTTTACATTCAGTCATTTGAAGCTAAGGCTACAATTTCCACTGAAGAACCTTACTGGTTCTTGCAGAAACAACCATGCAACGGTTTCAAGTCAGCTGATCAAAGACACATTTGTCAGCATGTTTTTTTTTAATATTTCAATTTATTTTGCCCTAAGCAAAAGAGAAAATGCTTTTAGTTTGAAGATTTGCCCTTTCTTATTCAATCCTAAAGAAGAAAAATGGCCTGATCTTGGAAATGTTTAATGCTATGCCTTAATCTGTATGAACAGATTAAACTATATGAAGATAGGCTGAGAAAGTTGGGGCTGTTCAGCCTGGAGAAGAGAAGGCTGCGTGGAGACCTCATAGCAGCCTTCCAGTATCTGAAGGGGGCCTATAAGGATGCTGGGGAGGGACTCTTCATTAGGGACTGTAGTGATAGGACAAGGGGTAATGGGTTAAAACTTAAACAGGGGAAGTTTAGATTGGATATAAGGAGGAAACTCTTTCCTGTTAGGGTGGTGAGGCACTGGAATGGGTTGCCCAGGGAGGTTGTGAATGCTCCATCCCTGGCAGTATTCATGGCCAGGTTGCACAGAGCCTTGGGTGACATGGTTTAGTGGAAAGTGTCCCTGTCCATGGCAGGGGGATTGGAACTTGATGATCTTAAGGTCTTTTCCAACCCTAACTATTCTATGATTCTGTGATTCTAATCCTTCATACTCAAAAAATGTTTATTTGGCTCTCATGCCAATTTGCTGTAGATATATGAACTATTCTTAAAAATGTTTTTTTTAACTTCTCTTTAGAGGAGAAAAGATGTAGAAACATCTTCCTTTCTTAACCATTCACCAGTGAATTCCAGATTAAATTATAGCAATTTATATCTGAATTTGGCCAGGTATTTGGAATGTAAATATTAAGCAGAAAGTGCTTTCCTAGATTTTACAAGCACCCACTGGGCACGGATGATGGCCATGACTGAAAAGATTATCAGTCATTTACTGTCATTGAGTACACCCCTTCTTCAAAGCAGCTAATTGTTTAGCTAATTGTGCTTCAAAACACAGGCTGGCATAAACATATGTTGCTGCTTTACCATCAGGATAGCTTCAGTTCTTTTCATTGTCTGGAACATACTTCCAGCAACAAATTAGAAATATTATTCTAGGTCAGTAAGGTATATATTCAGACAGTGAATATGTAAATCTCATAACTGAGTAACACTCCATGCAATGTATTTAAGAGATATTTCTTAAACTGTCACAATATTTACTCAGCAGGATGTGGAAACTTCTGTTCATGCTTTGGGTTCCTCTGTCCTCACAATATGAAGTTTCAGAGGTAGTTTAAATGTTTTATAATTATCCATGCATCAAAAACATCAGCTAATGTAAGTGAAGGGAAGAACCAATAGAATGCCAATCAGGCAGTAGACATCTCCATCAATTTTTGCTTGGGAAGAGGTCCTCCAGACTCTACAATGGAGGTGTCCTCAATGAAGGATGTAGAGCAGGCGCCTTCCCTAACGGCAGTAGGTTGAAGACCTCTGGGAATTACAAATAAACCACAACTTGGAGGCATGCTAAGGAAAGGAAAATAGGGCAACAGAAATTAGAATTGCATGAACAATTGAGTTTCTTTTTGGCTACCCAACTGAAAAATTAAACCAAAAAAAATCATCTGGGGCCAGCCCAAAGCACTTGTCCAACTCAAAATGAAACAGTTCATTTTGCTTTCAGATCTCTTTTCAACCTTTGACAGAAAATGTACATAAAATTCTAAACCAAAACACTACTTTGAATTGTAAACCTCAAATATTTCATTGAGAAAATGTCAGAACAAAACATTTCAGTATGGTTTTCCTTTTTTGAGCTATAACTATTGACTAAATTGAAACCCATCTTGCCTAACTGAAACTACACCTTACTTTTGGTCAGCAGTTGCTTGTCCCACACATTTCCCTTGGCTGTAAGGGAAACCTCCTCCAACTTCTACTTCCTTTGTTCAAAACTGACCATCGCTCGCCATCTTTCACACACCCACAAGTCACAGATGCCCTGCAACTATATCTATGAAGGAAATTTTGCAAAATCTACTATGTCGCAGCTTCAGGGCTCCAGCTTGTGAGGTTTCCATGGGAGAGTCTTCCAGGGAATGGTTTTCAGGGTAAGAGAAGCTAATAAATAATTGACTTCATTTTTACACGTTTGTGGACAAACAAGTTTTTATCTGGGTTTAGCCCCAGTGTGGAAAGCTTGAGAGATTGATTTGACATTTCTGGGTAGGGCAGGTCAGCAAGGACAGTGTGGAAGAGGCCTAAAGGAAGTGGAAGAAGGAAATGAATTAATTATCCTTTTGTGAAGTGATTATATCAATGAGGAACAGCATGTGTGATTCATGGTCTAATCTCTATTTATAGTCAAGGAAGAAAACAGGTACTTTTAGAGAAAAGTCATGTTATTCTGTCCAAAGGCACAATCTTTATAAATCTCTAATGGCACCTAGATAATTCCTATTATCCTTCACTGACTGTAAATGAAGCTGGGTGTAGCTTTGGGATAGATTATGTCTGTCAAAGATCAGTGAGAGGAGCTCTCCACTTGGTGCTTAATTCCCTCCCTTTGCTTTCAGCTGTCACAAGCTCAAGTGATAAGAGAAAGGATGCTGGCCAAGAGCTCTTGACAACATCATTTCTTATCCTACAAGGAAATAAATATCCTACTGAATATATCAAAAGGTTACACCCCCAACACAGTTATGTGGTACCAAATTCTGGCTGGCTGTCACTGTTGGGTCACTTCTGCTTTAACTGTGAGCAGGTATGTAATTCATATGTTGTGAGATGCAAATGAGAGTGTGGAACAAAATAAACCATGTTGATTGCATCTAGTTTGACAGGTAAGAGGCATCCATCACCCAGATGGGTCGTATGCCATCTAGTATGTGAGTTCCCACTAGAAACTTTTCAGCTCATGGAAACTTTGTTCAAATTAGCTGTGAATGGATAATTTTATCTTGAAATCACTTTTGTTTGAGAGCAGTATGAGATAGTTTAATTCCCTTTTAGTGTCATCTAACCCCAACAGCTGATATAAGTTGAAACTCTTTATGGACTATGGACTAACTTCCATTTCTCTTTGCGTTTAATTGATGAACCCACCAAGGTAGATCAAGGTAGATTTTTTTTGCCAATATTTTTCCCATATTATAGTATCTACTTATGGGATGTCTTCTTGATATCCTTTTAGCAAGCATTTTTGCATTTATGTCCCTGATATGCTGTGTTTACAAACTTTGCCCTCTTTATCTGCACTGCCACCCTTAGTCCTTTATTCGAGGATATTAATGGTGTTCTGGTTTTGTTTTGTTTGAATTTGAATCAGATTCATGTTTCCCTGATGAAAAAATGGCAAAGCCTTGCTCAAGAAGCCGTCACCAGTTGCTGAATGTTATTACATATTTCCTCTGGCTTTCTCATTATTTGAATGCTTTTCTCACTGTTTGGATGCTTTTCACCTCTTTTAACTTCAGTCCAGCTAGCAGTATCCCTTGCTGCACCAAAGCAGCTCCTCTGTCTTTGCTCAGGGACATTGCTGAAGGACATGGTAATGATGGATTAAACTGCTCTTCAGTGACTTACTTTCTTTTTTTTCCTGCCTGGGAGCTTGTGTCAGGAGTAGGCATCAAGCACTTCTCAAGCACTCTCAAATCCCTGATGCTGCAGAGCACTGTGCTCAGCATGCCCATGGGGCAGCCAGAATACAGTGCTCTGAGTTTTCAGTAGCAACTGCTGACTGTTTGTCTCCATCTCATCTGAGGAGACAGAGGTTGGGAGTTTTCACCAGCAGCTGTTCAAGATGGGATCTTGTCTACAGGCATACTGAAGCAGAATCAATAAATGAAATGAACGATTCTCATAAATGATGCTATTTTTCCTACCACCCCCCAAGAGAAGGACTGACCTATATGCTCCTTGTTAAGCTCTGGCCTGGGATACACTGAAATTGCAGCCTTATGGTAAAGAAGCATGTCCTCAGGCCAAGCTTACATCCTTTCTGTGTACAAGAATATAGCCACTGGCCCAACAGCCCCACAGGCACAATATATGTCATTTCCCTTGTGTTTGAGTAAAAGAGAAAAAGCTCTGTAAATGACAACATTTGGGGACCAAAATATTTATTATAATAAATTAAAGAATAAGCATTTCTAAAATAATCCATTTATATCCATATAAATATCACACGGCAGTTTTAATTTCATAATTCACTTAAAACCCTCTGGTACAGCTTCATAAATACATTTCCTTGGATAATTTTCAATTAATATATATATAAATAAAAGTACAGTATAATTATTACCTTAAAATAAGTTACTATTAAATAGGAATGACAAAAGTTATTTCTGAATTATTCTGAACTTTTCAGGTAAAGGTCAGAAGGGGGCAATATGTGCAAGAGAGATTTCCAAGTAAAAGGCTCAAAACATCCTGGCTACATATCACTGCCTACCTTGATCAAAGCTGATTCACATGTGTCAAATCTCAGCATACAAAATACAGAAACAGTTGGTTTATTCCTATGGAGATGAGGAGCACAGGGGCGTGCCTTTTAAAATAACTAATGTCCTGTGTTGAAATGGAGCCACAGAAACTGTCCTGAAGTCTTCCTTTCAAAGTAGGCAGCAATATGCGTCCTCTCTGTGCCCACTTAGTTTGCTGTTATTGGCATGGGTAAAAAATTACTGCATTGAGGGGAATTAGGGGAAAGAAAGTGTGTCCGTAGTATTATAGCAAGAGGTTTTCGGAGACATTTCTTAAAGACTGATCTGAAGACCTGAAATTCTTTCAGTGTTTCTTCTTGTTCTCTCCCTTCTTTGGGATACTGGTACAGGCATTTTCTATGTAGTCAAACAGTAAATCCAGTTCTCCGACGGCTTTAGTCTTCCCATTCTCTCCCAACTAGAAAAGAGCAGAATATAAGTTTTAGCATCTCATTACTTCTCAGAAAATTGAAATTAGGCTTGTCATAGAAACTGGATCAGGAACTTAACTCTCCTTATTCTCTCAAGTAGATCTGTTAGAGTCATTATACTATAAAATAGAAACTAGATTATTCTAATCTAGTTTAGCATACAGAAGTACCTGCAACCTGACTTCTGAAGCTTTAAATTACCATGATGTGTGCAGAGAGTTAACAACAGAAGGAGAGCTTGAAGTGGAAATATCACTAATCCCCTCTTTAATTCCCATGAAGGCTTCATCTCCCAAATAATCTGCACAGTCTGTGTCACAATTGAGTCAGCCTTAATTCAACTGAAACACTGGAGTTTGTCACAGCTCTTTTTAAATTTTGGGGGAAAATGTACCTCTTTCAGTTTGGTCTTCATTTCTTCCAGGTTCTTTTCAATGTGCTCTCTGTGTCCTGAGAATTTCTAAAAAAAGACAAAATCCAGATGTAACATTGGCAGCTGTATGCAACAATGTGCTGCTTTTTTTTCCCCCAAATGCACACCTTCTATCAACCTCAAGTTTTATATCTTTGATCTGAGGTTTCCTTTCATACCAGTGCCTCTTGCCGCTATTTGCAGCATTCTGAGATTCAGGAGCAGTGACAAGAGTCACAACTCAGAGTTAGGGAAAGAAACACAACGCTACTCACACATCTGCTCAGCTCCGAGGTCAAGGATGCAAAGAACTGCACCACCTCTGCAGTGTACGGGTACTGGTCCTTGACCTTGGTGAGGAGAACATCTTTCACTACAATCTCCACAATCCTCTTCATCATGTAGCAGCGGTTGTTTTCCTATGTATGCAAGTAAAAGGTCAAGTTAACTCATGGCAAGAGATCAACGAGTGCTGGAAAAGGTTTCAAAGAGCAGTCTTCACACCTAAGGGTGTAAAGCTTACCCTGATGTTAACATAGAGCTGCTGCCCAATGAGCCTGTTGTCCGTGTCCTCGTCTGAGGCCCTGGCCTGAGAGGAGAAAAGGGAAATGTCAGGCAGGGATGGGAAACTTATGTGAAAATTAACAATAAACCCTAAGGTTTTCATCATTAATAGAGCAGGTGAAAAGAGGGAAATGACACTAGAGACATTTTGTTACAGGTAGATAAGCTTGGATGTTTTGTCTGCTTCTCCCCTGAGCTGGGTGAGATTTAAGGTCAGTATCACCAGAAAATAAATAAGCAGATGTCTGAATTCCTGTCCCTCTTTTCAACATCAGATGTCGTAGTGGCTATGATGACTAAACCAGATGCCGCAGGTGGCCAACCTCACAGTGGCCCGCAGCACTGCTGGGAGATGCTGCAGCACTTGGCGGCGTACACCAAGGGGGGACCCACCCATGGTAAGAGCAGCCAAGAAACCTGCCCAAGCAAAGCACTGTAAGATGCCTGAGGAGCTGCCTGGCCATGGCTGGAATCATGAACAGGTCCAACTCCAAATGCCCTGGGCAAATAGAAAAAATTAAGCTCAGGTTCCACAATTGTCCCAGTCTAGCAGCAGCCACTTGAGAGAAGGAGCTGTGCTGTGCCAGCAACTGACTTTCCCTCGAGGAGCAGGAGGAGAAGAGGCAGAGGCAGCAGCTTCCCCTGCCTACACAACAAGTGGGCAACAGAACCACTCCACATGCCCAAGCTGTGCCTTACTGAAAGTGCATGTTTTTCTGGAGAAAGGCATGAGAAAGAGAGGAATGCTGAAGGTGAGAAGTGAGGGCACTGGTGGAGGAGGAGGTCCTCAGATCCCACATGAAGGTTACACAAGGTACTGTACCATTTTAGCCAAGGTGTAGGTGCGATTCCTGATGTAGGGCTGAAAGTTGAGCTTCCTGAGCCTGCAGGTATGATGGGCGGTAGAAGCCACCCCTGCCCCTTTTGGAGGCAGAGGGCTGGTGAGTAGAAGAGGGAGAAAGCAACAGCAGCAGCAGAAGACCCATCCTAAGAAGCTCTTGGTCAAGGTCTGCAGGGAGGCCATGTCTCACAATCCAAAGTCCTCCGTCGCAGCAGGTTTCAGCTACAGTGCTCAGCACTGATGAGAGAGAGCAGTGTTAGCATCAGGGAGATTGGGCAAGGCAAAGTGAGAGAGGCACGAAGGCTGCAAGCCTTACCTTTGCAGTGATTCTTGATGTGCTCTGCAGGAGGTGAGGTGCACCTTATATAGGGCCACCAGCAGCCTTTTTTTTTTGCGTAGTGGTGGTAAATAAAAATGACATCAGCAACTCTCTTGCTTTCCAGTATCCTCTTCTGAGAACTACCTAACCACTACAAAACCCACAAATACAACTACAAGGCCATTAGAATCTTCTTTCTTATAAAACAAACCAAATCTTAATGCAGGGCAAAGCAGGGGCTTTTACCGGGACAGGAATCCTGAATTCTCTTTGCATAAAAATATCTGAGAACTGTATGGGTTTGAGCATCCTGTTCTGATTGTAACACACTAATTGGATTGGCAATTTTACAACAGGTAAAGTAACATATAAATTTTTGTTCATAGAATCATAGAATCATTTAGATTGGAAAAGACCCTTTAAGATCATCAAGTCCAGCTATTAACCTTGCAGCAAATGACTGGTGCTCTGCTGCTGCTCTCTGGAATACAGCAGTGGTCAGACTCAAACACTGCACCAGACCCTAAAGCACTGACTACATACGGTTCCTACCCTCAAATCCTTTTTCCCACACAGTGGCCCACTGGAGTCATTGGCCAGCTGCCCATCACTGTGCAAACCTCTCTGAGAGACCAGAAAATGTGTAGGACCAACACTGCCTTTATCACATATCTGATCTCCAAATTCCCATTTTCCAAATATTATCCATATTCCATTCTGTAGCTGGGTGTAATGACCTGAGGTCATTAGAGGTGGTCATGCACTTACTTATCCATGTCATTTCCATGTTGCTGACCCTTCAGTCTGAAATACGCAGGGTGCCAAAGGTAAACGGTGCTCTCTTGAGAGAGTAATTTGCAACCCAGCTGTAGACGGTACTGCACGAGGACACAGACCTGGTACAAATGCAAACTCCTGGTTGCCTAATGCCCACAAGGCACACAGGTGACAAATGTGAGAAACAGGAAAACCAAGGCTTCAGCTCTGCCTCTGGCAGCGAACAGGGGTAACCCTGGGGCTTGGTATCACCCCTTGTGGCTGAGGTTCTTAGGACAAGAGCCACAACCAGCCTTACCCCATGGGCTGAATGCAGAGTCTCTTTTCCTTATTTCTGAAAGGAAGCAGCCTAAAGGCTTGCTGGCACTAGGTTTATGATTTAGCCTGCCCTGATACATCCACATAATGAACTAATCTCTCATGCCTCAGTCTTGCCTCAGTTTCCCTCAGATACCTGTCACATCAGCTCTGCACGGTCTGTGCCTTTGAAGATGCACCCTGTCACCCTGAAGCCATCATCACCAGGTCTGTTTCCATGCCCAACTCAGCAACCTATTCCCATACCCAGCCTCTAACATCATCCTGACTGCAGCAGGCAGCAAAAGCAAGTCTGGACCCAGGATGTCAATGATGTATTTCACACCCTAAATGCGTATAGCACCACAAAGCTATTCAATAACATGTTTATAAACTCTTTTCCATATTTTTTTTCATTTGCCAGGCTAATAGGCCCAGTGGGGCAGCAGATGGGAGGTTGAGTTATTTTTAGCCAAAAGACAGACATTAAAGACTAGATGGACAAATCCAGCCAGGGAGGCTCTTTTGAAGGACTGGATTCCCCTGAAGTACATTAGCACAGACTCCTCTCCAGGTGTTAAGCACAGTCTGATAACCAAAGTCTGCTTCTGAGGTTTTCTTGCACTCCTTCACCAGCTCATCTAGCAGCAGAGAAGTCCCAAACCCAGAACGAAATCTGTGAACATGCACTCAGACTCTCTCTGGTCCAGACTCCCTGTCTTCCTGCCCGTCTGCCAGATCCCACCTCTCCATCTCTTTGGTCACTTTTTCAGACATGGATCCAGCTAGAGTGGCCCCTTCTTGTGGCTCCAATCCCACAGAAAGGATTCATTACTTGGGTAAGTGCTTGTGTTATTCACGGCTGTACAAACCAATGCAAGAAGCCCACCTGGTCACAAGCTTCCGACACCGCCTGATGGACATCTAAACAACATCAGGCAGAGGGATGAGGAATTTGATACTGAATCTTTCTCCTGCCCTCTTTTATGCAGTCATTACAGGATCTCTTCTGTGTGTCTTCTCTAATATTGGAAACCATACATTTGGGATGTACACATTTTCATAGAAAACATTAAGCTAGACTTGATAAGGCTCTCTTTCTCCCATCTACATTATCAGCCACCTCTCATGGTCATGCTAATTTTTGGCTGTGCCATGACATCCTCCTTCTGAGACTTTAAAAAAGCTTTGTTTCGATTAAGTTTTCCTCCCTACATGCATCATTCACCTTTATTTTCCAGGCTCTGAAATGCTGAAATGGATATTAGAAGTTAATTCATTCATATTTCACAGCATGATATTCCTAAAGCCTTTGCATTATTTAGCCTTTTGTTTGCAGCTGTGAGTTATTACAATCTATCTTCCATCCCTTCAGCCTGCTGTATGTCCAGCTCAAAAATGAGCATTCAAAATCTTGCTGGACACTAATTTAGCAGACTGTGTGGTTTCCATGCTCATCAGGCCTCCTCTCAACCATCTTCCACCAGGTGGCTGCTGGTTCTGAATGTACCACAGTTGTGGCTGCAGTTATTCCTTGTAACATGTCAATAGAATTCTTTTGGAAGTGGATATATGCTTCTCATTCCCAGCGGCTGTTATTTCTGTTACGTGATTGCACTGGACAAGGATGTGACAAGACATTGCTATCACCTCTTCTGTCTAGCTCACCACAGCCTAGTCAGGAGATATACATCCAGCACTTCATCCTAAGGAAAGACAGGGCTAAAAACCTGCACTATCTCTAGATCTTACTCCAATCCTCAGCTGAAGTCTAGATAGGGACAAAGGAATCAGAAGGTTTTCTGCTACAGTTGAAGAAAAAATTCTCTTTCATCTTGTTTGAGGAGGATATACAATGATCTTCTGAAGAATAACGTCTTGAGCAAGCGCTGAAGGTGAACCTCAAGGAAATTGCTTACTTAAACTCCCCTCCACAAACAGGCTGCTCTGAACTGCAGAGCTGGCAGAAGAGATGAGTGGAAGGAAAGCTGCATGTAATTTAAAATGTGGTACTGTGGCTGAAACCATCACTGGTGGCTCTTTGGGGAGCAAGAATAAAGTGGAAAAAATGCATCTGAAGAACATGTCTTAAAAGAGCAGCCTTTCTCACCAATTCTTTCCTATGTTAACATTGTCAAGTATTCTAGCAACTGCTTTGGGAACTGGTAATTTAGTAATTTCACTTTGAGTCCAAACTATTGATGTCTTATGATACATGATAATGCCAAGCCTTTATTTATAAAACAAAGTTCTCTTGAAAACAAACAAACAAAAATGAACACTGAGAAATACCTCTCTAAGCTCAGGTGGGGGAAAAAAGTAATCTTCCTTCTTAGTTTAATGACTTTTTCTAGGTTTAATGATATTTTTAATGTTTAAGATTAGTAGCTATACTTTTAATTCAGAACTACCAAGGACCTCTGCATGCATACCCTCTATAAAAGTACCCTCTGCATTGTTTTGTTAAGTGTAATTAATTAAAAAAATAACATTTTTTCACAGATCGTATTTTCTCCCCAGTGCTATCCCAAGAGTCAGACTTCTATCCTATCATTGACCTCAGCAATGAACTTCTAAAGCGTAATTACATGGAGTTTCCCTAACTCATTGAGAAACCGTAGTGGTTGAATATTCTCGACAATGACTTCTTGACCCATATTGAAGACAGAGGATTTTCTGAGGAGGACTGGAACTCTACATCATGTCTACCTCAAAAGCCACAGACACTTCCTTCTTACTTTGAATGAGGCTACAGGTGAATAACCCATACTGTACTTTGATGTTCATCTGTGGTGTATCATCACCAGCACGCTGGCATGCAGGAACTTTCTTGAGCTTTAGCACGTTTTCAGTCAGCTAGGACTATACTGCATTATTGGAAACATGTTCAGGATGATAAACTTTGTCAAGATCAGGCATGTGGAAGAGCGAACCTGTGTATCGCCCTCTTGGATCTTTTACCTGGCAATGAAATTCTTCCCCCTTAAATATCTTGTAGGAATGGACCACAGGTCACATAATGCCTAAAACTAAACAGCCTATGGGGAGACACCCTCAACTCCACAAAAAGGCCATGCTCATCCCTTCATTTTGCTCCAGCTCATTTGTGAGCTCATTCACTGTATGTCAGGTAGTCTCTGCTTTTGCCTACTTTCAAGCTTGAAGAGATTAAATCAAACTAAAAATGTTTCAGCTGAAGCTCTAGTGGAGCCTTGTTTTAGTTAGCTCTTTGGCCAGCAATGAAAACATCGGTAATGGAAGTTAGCTCTTCTTTATAAAACTTCCAAAAAAACTGTTCTGTAATTCTTCCATTCATTATGGAAACATTCTAGTACATAGACAAGTGTCTTCTGGGCACCACCATTAAAAATGGCAGACGGAATTAATTTTCTATTTGTAGGAAACTGTATCAACACAGAGATTGGGAGAGGACATGTAGCATTTGACCGTTGTATTTTTGCTTTCTTCATGATAGGTTTAATGCTGTGTAAGATAGATACTGTGAATCTTTTGTTTGGAGGAGTAGTGTTATTAAAATTGCTTGGTCTGGGAGCATTAGGTGACTTTGGGAAAGACTCCTATGTCAGGTCTCAGTACAGACACTGGTGACTCAGGCTTTTTGCAGAGGATGTGCAATTCACCTACCTCCCCTGACAGTAACACTTGTGTTAGACACTGAGTAACACATTTCCTCTAAGAGTAACACTTTTGCTTATATGTCTGTTATTTCATCAAAATCTTTTGGTTCTGTTACATAATTTTGGGGTTTCCTAAGATGCTATATAATAAACACCATAAAACCGGCATTTCTGAGGCTGCACCCAGAATCCTGTGTTCAGTTCTGGGCCATTCACTACAAGATAGACACTGAGGTGCTGGAGCAGGTCCAGAAAAGGGCAGCAAAGCTGGTGAAGGCTCTGAAGCACAAGTCTGATGAGGAACAGCTGAGGGAACTGGGGTGGTTAATTCTGGAGAAGAGAGGGCTGAGGAGTACCTTGTCACTCTCTACAGCTACCTGAAAGGAGGTTGTAGGGAGATGGAGGTCTGCCTCTTCTCCCAAGTAAAAAGTGACAGGACAAGAGGTAACAGCCTAAAGCTGCACCAGGAGTGGTTTACATTGGCTATTAGAAAAAAATTCTTCACTGAAGGTGTGATCAGGCATTGGAACAGGCTGCTCAGGGCAGTGGTGGAATCACCATCCCTGGACATGTCCAGAAACTGTGTAGATGAGGCCCTCAGTGCCATGGTTTAGTGTTGGGCTTGACGATCTTTTTCAACCAAGTTGGTTCTATGATTTCATATCACAAAAAGTCTAGGTGGAAGTGAACTAATAGTTCATTGTGGTCTCAATTTTAGATTACACTCTGGGACAAAAAAAAACAAAAAACACTTTGGTATAAATAACTTCATTCTCACCTCAGGAACATTCATGTAGCAGACACCCAAGAGAAAGACATCCAGAGACACGTTGAGACAACACTATACAGCTTCTACCAACATTATTACTGCTACCCCAGGACCACTGAAGTAGTAACTTTCATTGCAGTGCCAGGAGGATTCAGTGATTCACTAAAAAAGAAGCATTAATGGAAGTGCAATAGATGTTAGTCCAGTAGTCCTGCCTCTGGAGACAACTGCTGCCAATGTCAGTAAAACATAAGCCTTGCTTCTATGTTTAATAAGACTTGCTGACAGGAGCCATAATTTAGTTTATGCAGACAGGAGAAAAGAGAATTCAGATCACCTTGGTGTACACAGCCTCACACCACCAAACATACCGCTATTAGCCCTTCCACCAAATGGCTAGTACTTTGAATTCAGAGTGTGAAATCACACATGCTTGGTGAGACTGCCACTTTGTATAGTGACCTACATATATCCAACTCTGTCTTGCAAATAGTCAGATCAGGTGAACTGAAACTTCTGTGCTTCCTGTTAATGTGGTGTGGTTACACAGCAGTGACTCTGTAAGTGACATGGCAAAGTGGAATTACTGACATAGTGTATTCTCAAAGAAAACCACTCTAACTGGGAACAGAATTTTGCAAGCTGGCTTATAATCCAAAATTAAGTCACAAGCAGTTACTCAGGCTAAGAAAGCCCCAGCATTGTGCAGCATTGTGCACCTTGATTTTCCAAGTACTACCAGCTTTACCATGTAATAAATCGACACCATCTTAAGTAATCAAATAAAGCCATTTTGAAGGGAAGCAACATTATTTCAGGTTAAATACTTGTGCCCATACACTAGCACTTCCACTGAGGCTCTGAGCTCACCAAAATCTCCCTAAGGTGAGCCCCTGGCTGCTCAGTTATTCGCTATAACAGGGTTGTGAGACAAGGAGGTGATACTTCTCATGTTGTTAACAGAAGTCTTCTAATCAGTATCTGTCCTTAGGATGTCAAAAGCCCAGGCCTCAGCCCTTCCCCACCCCAAGGTTATGCTATTGCCCATCTCCCAAGAGAGCCTGAGTCAGCGAGTTTCCTGTTAAGATTGTTGTCAAGAATGTGAGATTTATGGAGCCAAAAGATCAAACAAAATAGCTACAGCCTAGCAACTATGATGCTGTTTTTCTGGGTTATCTGTTTTTAGCCACATGTCGTGTAAGCTAAAATACATAAATAGGCTGTAGCCAGCTTCCCACTGGAAACACAAAGAACATGTTCCTCACGAGAACACGTTTCTGGGAACTCGTGAATGAACTCTAGCTGGAGGGGCACCAAGCCTTGGCAGGTCTACCCTGTCTGCATAAGAGACCTCAGGGCAAGACCTGGCTCTCCAGAATAGGGTGCATCAGCAGACGCCTGTTACACATGTGTCACATCAACCCAGCAACCAGAGATGTAAGGAGAAATCCAGAAGTATGGGTTTTCTGGATCCTATCAGCCATTCCTCTTTTACTTCAGGTCTTAAAGTAGGTGCTTTGGAGACAACCCAGCACATGACAGTATTAAAGTCACCCTGAGCAAAAAAAAATGTTTTTATAGCAGATGAAGAGATGCAACATGTGTGTATATAAGATATAAACCCAGTTAAAAGGAAAAGCATCGAGGCCTTCACAGATCACTGCCTTAGTTACCTCAGGAAAGGTAAACTGCCATAAATACAAATCAGTCACATTTACAAAGCTGACAGATGCTTTACCACCAGACTTCATCAAGACCTCTGAGGAAAGCAGAATGTAAGAAGCTTCAGTTGCCTTTTTCCCCCTCCACTGCAGAACTGTCTGCACTAAGGAGGATTTGCTGTCACAACTGTACCACCAAACTGTCCCTGCAAAGAGCAAGCTCCTCCCAGCAAATGAGTTCAAAAGCTCTTACAATTTTAATCCAACCCCATGAATGGAAAAAAACATATAACAAAAGGTGTGTAAACTGTAAACATTATCAGGCCCTGCTCCCCTTCCCGAAAGCCTCCAGGTGAGTCTTCTGAAGTTCTCAGTGTTCCACCCTAACTAGATGCTGCAGGACCACCAAGCGCTGTCCTTTGGAGTTTCTCAGGACTCTTCCCACACGCAGCACATTTGGCACTCCAAGGTCAAATCTGCTAGGCAGGGGTCGGTCACTCTCCATGTGCTTCTGTAGAACATAGACACAAAACAGAAACATCACAAGGCCAGCTCACCTCCAACACAGATAAACTGTAATAAATACCAGAATATCGGGGAAGTTCATTCACATTTTAACATGGAACTCCACATACCCTTCTTCAACACAGTATTAGACTCAGATCAAAAAGCAAAACACAACTTGGATTTCTATGAAACTGGAGTTTTCTGGTTAGCTACCACCCACTGTCCACTCTCCAGGTTTTGCTTTCAGTGTGATCACTGCTATGTAGTTAGCACATTCCCACAGGATTTCAGTGCAAAGACAAAGAACTGTCTGTGCCCCAAAGATTTAATTGCAGCCCCATCATCCTCCCCTCTCTTCCTGAGGTTCCTGTCTGCACAGGTTTGAGTAACTGCTGGAATTAGGACATTAATTTAGGTCACTTCAAATGACAATTACTACTCAGCTTGTTTTCTTTATCACACATTTGTGTGCATCTGGGTAATGGAACAATTTCCCTTCAGGCTACGCTAAAAATTGGTCAACAAGAGTATAGCAAAACTTCCACTTGCATCAGATGGTAATGGGGCTCTTTACCGACAAATTTACCAGATGGTAAGAATTGCTCAGATACTAGAACATGAGGTGCCACCTCAGCCTTGCCAAGAATGGACAGAGGTAATGAAGCAATATGGCATTATGCAAATAGCACACACTAAATTGGTCAAAGCAGCTCTGTTTCCTGCCCCATGAAGTACTACAAATTTGCTCATGGTATTGCCAACAGTATCTGGAAATCCCTTTTTCCTCCACTACTAACTGCCAGAAAGCAATGACACCAAGAGTCAAATAAGGAAAACACCTTAGTACCTGGACTTGAAGAATTTGTGAGTGAAGGAGAACGCTGGTAGCTGGTAAGTAATTTCACTTCCTTTCATCTTTCTGCAACATTCACTGGGTTTCAGGCTGTGGCCCCTAGGTCCAGGGGCAACCTGGGCGCCCTGCAAGGCATTGGTGAAGGCAAACCTGTTTTCAGGAGAGTTTCAGTTGTTACTCTCTACATAGGGGTCCATGAGTAATACAGAAGACGTATGGATTGAAAAAGGCTGTTAATTGAAAAAGGCTGAAAAATCCCTACACAACATACCTATAATGACTTAAGCGCACTGGGCAGCCTTGGGACTTAATCCAGACTGTATGTGACAAAAACATGCCTTGTTTACCCCTTCCTTACAAGCAATCTAGCTCTGATGGCTAAAGAGACTGCTTACATTTGTAAGGTTAATGACATTTACATACTTCACATTATGTTTCAGAACTCACATTGGTAAGGTGTTAAAATTTGAAATTAACAAAATATTATTGCGAAACTAAGGCATTTTAGCAGAAATTTAATTGAATGGGATTATCCACAATCCCAGATGTTCCCTCAAAACCTCCCTGCAGAGCTAGAAAGCCCCAACTGATTCTTCTCCAACTGTTCAACCCAGGGGTTTAGGAGTATTTTTAACTATTTCAAGTAGAGAAGGCTGATGCACCACGAAAGTCACTGGAAACTGAGAACCTGGAAAGAAATAAAAGCCCAGAGCCATGAAAGGATGCAAGTGCCTGAATACTACCTTGCTGCTACTGCAGGCACTTAATTAAATCCTAAAAACTCCCCTCATGCCAAGAGTCATCCAAACCTCTCCAAAGTGACCGCACAAGTGCTGAGAAAGGTGCTTCATCCCTCCTGCTGAAGTCATTCCACCCTAAGTGATTTGGCCCCAAGAGAAGAGGAGGAAGATGCCAGAATGAGCACAGCTTCAGGAACAGGAAGATCTTTGTTCCAACCCCTAGGCTAACAACCGTTTTTATCAAGATTAAGTAGATACCAAGAGTTCACTTCTTATTCCTACAGACAGCCAACTGCCTTATTATCCATCAAGATGGAAAGTTTTTGAAAAGTGACTGGAATCAAGTCTGCTCTTTGTGGCCTTGTTGGGGGAATGCTTCATTGGCAGGAAAACTGAGTAAAGGAAAGCCTTTCCCCAGCTGGCAGTGGTCAGTGAGGAAGAACCAGCTTATTTACTTGTGAAGGTGGTTGAGAGCTGTGAACCTCCAGCAGCAAGATTCACCAAGCAAGTATACCCAACTTGGGAACAGCAGCTGAAGACATATAATTCAACACTTACAAACTGGGAACATGCAAAACTTGACCTTAATTTGACAAGCTCCCAAAGCTGTTTATTCCTTAGATGTATCTCCTATTGGCAATTGCCTTCCTCCTTATTTATCCACTTTGTCTCTCCACTTGAAGGCTTCCAAGATTTCCTTGACAGAAAACAAAACACATTCACTACACAGCACGCACTTGTAATTATTAATAAAGGGTGCACTTTTGAACCTTTTCTCCATGTTCAGCTTGCTGGAAAACACAACAGGAAACATGTTTGAAGATTGGTCCAAACAAAACAAAACCCCCTCTTGAACTAGGTAACAACAATAGCAGAAGGCAGGCATAAATCATTTTACATCTGCCTTGAAGGCTACAGAAGAACATCCTTCAGAAGCTTTGCACTAGCATTACTCAAAAATGGTATTTTGTCTACATTTGCCTTAAATACTTCTATCCAAAAGTAAATTCAATTACAAATTTCAGGTAAAAGATAAGATTTGCTCAGATGAGAAATAATGTCACGATGTATAAGACATCAAGGGCTTCCATTTTTATCTCTAAATGGAGTTTGCATCCCCATGCAACAAAAATTACCACCCTTTACCACAGCTATTGTCTCCCTGGCAGAAATCAATATGCACATCCCATATAGCATACATCCAACAAATTCAGAGCTACCCAAATGCATCAGATTCATGTTGCAATACTGTAAGCAAAATTGGCATATATGCTGTTGTAATAATATCTAGGACGAGTATCTGTAGCCAATCATAATTCCAAGTATCAACATACCTAGTTTTAGTAACTTTCTGAAAACCAGAAATGGGGTAGCTTCTTGTCTTTTCAAAGTCCACAATTATTCCAGCTGAACAGGTAAAACAGAGAACTGAACACAGAAGTGCCAACATAGTATGTTCCACGAATTTATCCAGCATAACTTGACTAGAAACAAATCAACCAACCATTTTTATTTTCAGTAATATGCATACATAACTGTATACAAAATCAAAATGTAAGTAAAAGTGTACAAAATTCAAGTTGTTCTTGCATAAAATTTCCAAACGAAGTAATATTAACACTTGAAGCTACACAAGAAGAACTAAACTAGCTGCTAGCCACCTATTTCCTCTACTTCAAGTTAAGTTGTTTCATCTCTTAGAAAGATAAAACAAGCTGTCAGCATAAATCATACTTTTCACTGTGACAGTCACAACAGTATGTCAGTCTCCCAGAAACAGGCAACTAGGAGAGGTAATTAAAACATCAAAGTCAGGAAAAACATTCTTCTGAATTTACTTTAAGAGATTAACTACTCTTAAATACCCTGAGTTTGAAGTGGGGCTGGGGAAGGCCACTGCATAAGGTTGCTTTTTCTAGAGAAGTTTAAATCAGCACTAAACAAGGATCTTTTCCACAAAAAAGACAAATGTTCACGTAAGTACCTCTGACAAACTCAACTCTAATAGTCATCCTGGCCAGAAAAAGTGGACAGCGAACAAACCCTAACACTTTGTGTGCTTTTCACAAACTCCTGTATGTTCCATGTTAGCTTCATTAAGAAAAAAGGATTTTTTTGGTAACAGGTTAAAAGCGGTAAGCAGCAAAAGCAACTTTTTGTTACAGCACTGTGTTGTACTGACAATTCATATAGTAACATAAATAAATATACCACAATTGCCTTTAAGGCAGCTAATTAATATCAAGTAATTGAGGCATTTAATGAATGATGGTGTTGCCCCTAAATACTGCCCTCAGGTCATACTGCATGACTGCAGCAGAAGAACTTGGCAAGCTATAATAATAATTATCTTGGTTTCAAAAGGTGCCACTGTAAAAACAAAACAACCTAAAAAACAAAACCCAAACCACATCGCTGTTGTGTCATAGTGAAAATGTAACTCTCAGATATAAAGGACCTACATTTTCAACACTGGTTTAAATATTGAAGATTTAAATTAGGATGGCAAGTCCTAAAACTTGGGCCATATTAGTGCTAAGTGAAAGGATGCTGCATGGTATCTACAATCACAATTTTTAAAAAATGTACACTACAAACTATAAAAAAATAAATCATTTTACAGAACAGTTTCTATACAACAGGCGGGAGAGATTATGTCTTGCCCCAGAAATCCTTCCTCTTCTGAGCTCGTTCCAGTATCTGAGATGCAAGCGAGCTAGATGCTGCTGAGCGAGCAGAGATCTGAGACAACCTGTCATCTGTAAGGAAAGCAACAAAGGGAAAAGTAAATAGGAAAATTAAATATACCTATTAAAACACAGTTGACACTCGTGGCAGACTTCAAAAGTGCAAATATTTTTATGCCCTCTTCCACCATGGGTGCTAAAATAGTACCACAATGCACCTCAATTTTATTACTTAGTAGCTGACATGCTGGAGACGAATCTCACTAGAAAACTATTACAATGCTAGGTAAGTTTAACATAGCTACGTGCCCAGCTCTTGACAAACTCTATAATGAGATCCCTATGGTCACCTGAGAATTGCCAGATTCTCCAAGTCATCTCTGCATTTACTTTCCTGCATCAGAAGACCTCAGAAATTGTTCCTCTGCCACTGAAGTCTGTATAGCCTAGACTCTGATAATAACACTTTCATGAAAGTAACCCACTGCTTCAAGCAAAGCAGACAACCTTAGAATAACACATGACTAAATACCATAACCTATGTTGCCAAAAGAGCTCTTCTGTGCCAAACCCAGCTAGTGCACCACAAGCTGTTAAAAGAAATGTGTCTTATGAAGAAAACAGGAAATTTAATACAAAGACAACAAGAAGCATGTTTTAAAATTGTACTTTTGAAAGGTCTTCCTTTTGAATACAGGGACTACTTTCATCAAGCAGAACTCTTAAAATTAAGCAGCCTAGATGCTGTTTCTCTGATAAAGCACTACATTATGCTACTGCAGAAATGCCCTCTATGAACAATGACCTTAATTACACCCATTCTCCAGCAACAGGTTAAAAAAAGGACTGTATCACTACTTTCCTGCCCTCCCTAGGGGGAAACAAAACAAATTTCCACAACTCCACCCAAACAGAACCTGTACTTTGCCAGTGCTTCTATTAACTTTGCAGCAGCATTTGTAAATTCTTGAAATACAGTGATCCAAGCAGCCCATAACAGGCTCACAGAATGTGCATAACAACTATATCCCCATGTATGAGAAAACCGCTAACTGCACTTCTGCAGACAGACATGTCATTGGAGTAACTCCCACGTTTGTATGTACAAGAACAAACATGGACATATGAAATATCTGTGAGCTGGCACGCTTCACCTGTTTGTGAAAGCTCATAATACATCATCACTCAGCTCAAAGATAGAAAACTAAAAAAAAAAAAAAAAGAAACAGCAGTTATAGCATTTAGCCTGTGTGCAGCAAGCTTGTGGGAAGCTGCAGAGTACTATAGGATTTTGTATGGTTTATGTAGACACACAGATGCTTGGCTGAGCCATCTGCACAACCCACATGTTTTCCAGACAACTGCAATGAGTAAAACAGAGAATCAGTCTGAACCTTGGTTAACACCAAGGAGCGAACAAGCTTAAGGGCTACAGAAAAAAGCTTTTGGTTGCCTGGGGTGTATTTATAAATAAACTGCAATCAGATAGGAACTTGCTCTGCCCATACTCTAATCTAAACCAAACACAGGTGATTGCGACCAGCACAGCACCACACCAATCTCAACCTCATACACCATGCTAAGAAACAATATACAGCAGTAGCTCAAGCTAATGAGGCTACAGTGCCTTTAGTTGACTCACACTACTGAAACAGTTTGTGTCTGCCCACAAAAAGGCCAAGATGCACTGGTGGGCTGTGTGCACTGGCTGCTCCTCCAGATAAAATTTACAGTAAAGAGAAAAAAAGGCCAAAACAGCAATCCAAATAACAGGCTGCCATAAGTACCCCTAACAGTCTGAGCAGAGGAACAGCTGTGAAAATTCAAGTCAGAGGAATCATTTTACGCTGCCTATCTGGTGCTGAAGTCTTACAAACAAAAATCTTTATCTTAAAATTTGTGGTACCTTTTAAGTTGCATCCAAGGTTACTGCAGCTGTGAGCATTTTGCAGTTTGCTTCTGTTGCTATTACACAAAGGCTTAAAAATGTGCATGAAGAAACAATTTCAGGTGGAGAACTGAGCAAGACCAGTAACCGTACTGAGCCACAATGGTCTATTTAATTTTTGGTCACATTTATACCTTCATATTCCTGCTTCAGATTATTAGGATGAACACTTTCAAATTATTTTGTTGAAATACAATACAATGCAGTAATTATTCATGCAAACACATAAACCAGTATGAATTACTGCATTCAGAAACCTCTCACATTAGTGCAGAAGTTAAAATTAGTCTAGGTAATATACACAGGATATACAGGAATACTTCGGGACAAGAAATACCTTCATCCTTATAGTTTCTTTCCTGAAGGGGTAACTGGAATGATCTAATGTTTGGATTGCCAACATTCCCTAAACAAAAAAAAAGGAAAGAAAAGAAAAAAAATAATCAAAGGAATAGTTTTTAATCCTTTCAAAATAGACAAAGGATAATATTTCATTTCACAACATTTAAAAATGTTGCAAGATTATTTCCAAAGTCTTATAAATAGAAAACATACAAAAACCTCCACCATGCTCCTTTGAACTGAGGTAAAATAAACTTATTCTACTGTATTCTTCTCAAGGTACCTATCTTTGTGTAGATACTGCAAGTTACTCAGTGAATTTCCCTTAGTGAACTCGAGGTGCAGAGCTAGAACACAGCACCAATTCTGATCTCCTTCTGAGGAAAGTCTCTGGATTCCACCATCCCATTTCACCTGACAACTACTCATTCCATTCTGGAGCAGAAATACTACTTTAGTTTAGCTAATCCTTATAATGTAAGGATTGAAAATAGTGGGACCTTAAGCAGCTCTAGAAAGTCATTCTGGAATAGAGTCAAGCACATAAACTTTATTTTGACTAAGAAGTGAAGGATTCTTTTATTTGTCATGTCCCCAGTGGCCCTAAACATTGTTTAAGATCTCTGAATTGTGCCAGCACAAATTCCTCCTCAGCCAAGAAAAGGCTTTTCTCAATACCCAATAAATCATCTATAGATGGCTTTTTTGTTTCCATATCCTGCAGAAATATTTAAGGAGCTTATCTCTCAAATATCTGCAACTCCTGCAAAATAATACTATACCATAAAGGTACCCAGTTACATTCTGCTGTTGGTAACTGCAGCTGGAAAAGCATCACAGCATCTAGTTGCAGCATAAAAAGATTAAAAACTACAACTGTTCATGCTAAACCAAGTTAATTCTCATAATAAGTACTTATTAAAAATAATAAGGCAAAATTAGAAAACAGACCACTAGAATACAATGATATTAATGGAATCTGAAACTAATGTGGAAAGTTGTATGCATTTCCACAGCAAGACTAAACATGTAGTAGCAAAGCTTTTGTTTACAAGCAACACATTCTTCCTAGAGTGTAAGTCAGCAATCTCAGCACTCTTCGCCTGAGCATTGCACTGCAGCCATTCCTATCCTGCAGCACTCTAACATAGCCAGTTAATACCCCAAACCCACCATTATGCTGGAATTCTGGATCTTTGAGAGTCCCTTGAATACGACAAGAAGGACTCCAGCAAGGCATAGAACAGCTTTTGGCTGACTTCTGCACACGAGGTGTGGGGGCACACCCTTGATGGGCTGAAGCAAAAGGAGCTTGCTGATCAGAAACCCTGTTAGGAGGCCACTGATCCTGTCTAAGTGGCAGAGGATCCAAAGTTCCCAGCCCAGCAGGTGGAGAGGTAAGGAGTGGCACAGCTTCCACTTCTGCATCATGCTAAAACACAATAGAAATAAAATAATTAAAAAAAAAAAAAAACACACAAAAAGCCAACATTTCATATACAGCCTTCCAGCAGAGATGCTCACATACAGAAAATGTTGGCTTTACACTGTTACATTACACTTCTCATGAGGGTACTGGAAAAGTATTTTAAGATTATGAGACAGCTAAAAGAAAATCCATTCCTAATAACATGGTTTGAAAGTAATCTAGGCAGGTCAAACCAAAAGCTGATTTGCTTCACAGCAAAAAATTAGTCTTAGATTTTAAATCAACATAACCGACTCCTCACGCAACTGTGTTTGCTTCTATCACAGAACATACTACAGGGATGTATGTAGCAAAATGCTCATTGTCTTTGTAGAACACAGACTAAGCACAACTTGACCTAAAAAAACACCAACCAACCCACAATTTTGAGAGGAAGACAGTTAAACAACTCCTAAATGTTTCTATTTTTCTTTTATCAACAATGCAAGCTGCAAAGTAAAAGCAGCACAGAAGGAAAGCAAGAATGAAGCTATTCTGGCACACACTGTACACAGGCACCTAACCCTTCTTGAATATCTTTCAAGTCAAGGAATCTGGACTGTGCCCTACGTCAGTAACTTTAATGTGGCGGGTTTGGGTTTTTTTGTTCGGGTTTGTTTTCTCTGTGTGTGTATGTATGTGTGCGTGCATGTGCACCTTGTTGGGGGGGGCTGTGTTTTCGTTTTGGGGTTTGTTTTGTTTGGGGTTTTTTAAATAGAACCTGTGCATGTAGCAGAAAAAAAAACAAAATGGAGCTCATCCAATGTTACTCCAATAGCCTCAAATCCTTTGCCTGATGCCCCCCAATAAATTCTTCATTCAGACATCAGCCTTTTTTAGTCACAGATGCTGAGAATTTTAGAATAGTAGATGACAACTCAAGAAAAAAAAAAAAAAAATAAATTATTCATTATTAGTTAAAAAGCACATTGTAAAAATGCAGAACTGTAAGTCTCTTTTGTGGCTCACCTGGAAGGGCCTTCTGTTTGAAGCTTCTCTTGCACCTTGCTTAGCTGAAGAAGGGTCTGCTCCTAAACCTCGTGCTCTCTGCTGTGAAGATGAAGACTTGAATTTAGGAGGAGACACGAGAAGCGCACCTCCTATTGAAGTGGAGAAAATGAAAAATGCTTTATGAGCTTAAATAACCTAATAATTAATTCATACATGCCTTATTTCCCCCCCCCCCTTTAATTCTTGAAATATTACTTTGCATTTAAAAGTCTTTTTTACCAACAGCTGGGGTAGTGAGATCATGATGAGTCCTCTGAGCTCTACCAAGCGCTCTCAGCTTCGGGGTTGGAAGTCTGCCTCCTGTCCTTGAGGATACAGAAGAAGAATCTGACACAGCTGCAGAAGAATTCAGTACTAAGGCATTCTCACTGGAAAAAAAAAAAAAAAGGAGAAATGATTAAAGGATTAGCTAAGGACTCAAGAGTCTTGCACTTGAGCTTCTAACACTTTCGTACAATGAAGCCTAGGGCAAGACAGTTGGGGTCATAAAACACCAAGAGCCTGTAGCCAAAACATCTGCTTGCAAGGGGAAGTCCTGGATTCCAGCCCTCAGTCTTAGTTTATGTCATTCTTTTTTTATGTAACTGGGTAACACACATAAATTGTCTCAAGCTGCAAGTACAGGCTCCCTCTGTCCCAATAAACCTTGAATGTATTGCTACACAGTAGCAGACTCAACAGGAGAGCTGGGAAGAGCACTCACCCAGAAAATCTTAGAACCCAGTTGCCACCTCAGAGGGGGGAATGTGGGTTTGACTCTTTTCAGTCAATGTGGTAGAACTGAAACCAAGTATCCCACATTTATGCAACCGCTTTAGCCCCCAGGTTATTAAATAAATCAGCAGTACCACTTCTGCCTTCCTCCTCCAGACACATTTCAAAAGGAGGTGGGGGCATACTCACACCATGCAAGGAACCTGAACTTATCGCTGCATGCTAGATACACTCTGAGGATATTTAGGCAAAGAATGCCTCCTTTCTAGCTCTCAAGCAGACTTAGATAACATGCAGGGGTTAAGCTGCTCCTCATGGCCAACCAGCTTGGTTGGGTTTTGGTTTGTTTTTTTCTGGGGAGTGGGCAAGGTTTAAGAAAAACAGATGCATAAGTACAAGACTAGCATGTATTCTATCCTTTCAGTCCTATCAATCCTACATGGTCTATCAGAAGGAAATTGTAAGTTTAATTTTCAGTACACTTGGCTGCTGTGCAATGAACAGTTCAAGAAGTTCATATTGCAAATTTTACAGTTTTGGAAGAAAAACCCCAAAACATTAGAACTGTTTGCTTCTACAAACTTCTGTCCTCCAAGTTAGAAATCCCCTATTCCTAATGATCAATCCATTCTCATCAACCCCCTCAATGCCTTGGACTTTCTCATCTCTTATCATACTGTTAAAAACAAAAGTAATGTCACACCAACTTACGCTCTCTTAAGTAAATCTGATTTTAAACCAAAAATGAGTTAACCTACAAATTTCTGAGATGTTAGAGGAAGAGATTCTCTATATACATCACAAAAATGTTGTTACCCTTCTATTTTCTTGTCTTCATTGGCATTTTTATTGTTTTCTTCTAAATGCTGAGCCACAACTGCAGCTTGCTCATCTTCTTTTTCTCCCTCTTCTGTTGATTGATGATTCTCCCTTTCTTCAGTACCTTCTTGCTCACCCCAAGCTAAACGCCTTTTGACTGGAACAGTTAAAGCATCTGACATATCTTTTGTCTCAGTGCTGTCCTGGTGTGGCTGTTTCCTTGATTCAGACTGCTGCTGCATTTGTGGGCTTGGTGAAGTTTCCTTTTCAGAAACTCTAGGTAACAAAGAACACAGTGTTTCATACAATTGATTTGCATGATATACACATCTATTTGCATGATATACACGTCTATGTAGAACACATTTATCCAGTTCAGCCTTTCTGCCAAAAGTATATCTCAGATATTAAAAAGTAGTATAGTTGACATGATGAATGGTTAAATTTCCACTGAAGTTCTAACTGATGTTTAAGCACAATCCATCTTCAAACTAGATTCTGTGAAAATTCTTTCTGGATTATCATTTCAAAAAATGTAATGTAAAATTAGGGCTCTATTTCCAGTTTAAACAACAAGTTAGATTATCAGAAGTGCTCAAAAAAAAAAAAGTTCAGTATAAAGGGACATCTGATTGCACAATTTTGAAAGGCAAACAGTTTAGAAGACTCCTCTCTAGGCATAACTTTTTGAAGTGTTAAATTCTTAAATGCTCACAGAAATCAGTGCAAATTAGCCCAGTGCACAGAAATGGGGTCAGTAAGAGGATCTGCATTTCACAGGCAAAAAAACCAAACTGGTAAACCAAAAAAATTACACCATACTTAGTATCATACATAGTGTAATAAATACCCTTTTACATGTAATCCCTCAACCCTTACTAGGGCATGCAAATGGGTAGATCTCTCACACAGAAGACAAGCAGCGCATGCATGGCAGTGAAAGTGGTCTACAGACACAGGCATCCAAGGCACGGTTTTAAATATCAGATCTCAAATAAGACAAAAATGGCTTTTTCTTGTCGTCCTTCCTTCAACAATAGTCTGTACATTTTACTAAAATACCAATTCTGAATTTTCCTAGCAGTATCAGCCAATTCAGATGGCCTGCAAAGGAAGGAGAAAATGGATGTACACCATTCCAGTTCCTAAAAATTCATCTTGGAACTAAACAGTTTCTAAGACTCAACCACAAGATTAATTAATCCTGACAAGAACACTGATAACATCTCAATAGGCAAAACGTATTTCATACCATTCCAGCGGAAAGAATAGTATTACTTCAGTATGAGTCAGTGCGAAATTCCTCTGGACTTGATGAGACAGACTAAGGTTGCCACACTACATATGCATTTGTGGAGCAACTTTTTCTCCTTTCAGAAGACTGGACTGTACCCCATTTTCCATTTCAGCATGTATCGACTGATGTATCTATGAAAAGGTAAATGCCTGCATCTGCTCTAGAAAATTTACATATCATAGAATTGTGGAACAGCCAGGTTGGAAGGGTCCTCTTAACACCATCTAGTCCAGACTCTGGGGGAAGGTGGCCTAGATGAGATTATTGAGCACCCTGCCCTATCACATCTTGACTCCAGTCAAACATCTGAGATCTCTCAGCTATGCTAAACTGATATCATTTTGCTCCCTTTCAAAGCTTCACTATAACAGGCAGGAATAACAACCTTACCCAGCAAGATCTAGTGCTCTGATGTTGTTGCTGATGCCTTCTTCTGAACTGGAATTCGAGGACACATCCCAAAGACTGTTATTATCAGACAGGATCTGATTGAGATGGTCTCGGGAGAAATGAGTTCCCTCTACTCGTTGCCTGTACGCCTTTGCTCTTTCTCGAAGCTCTTTCACCTACACATCAAGGTTTCATAAGTTACATGTTTGTTTAAAGTTCACCAACAGGCTATTATATTTGCATTAGTTAATAGCTGCTACAGGAGAAAAGCAAATTACTTATAATACAGAGCCATTCACAGTACAAACATTGCATGCTGCAGTAAATGCAACAAAGAGAAAGCAAACACAACAAAAGGGTGTATTTAGTAAGCGTGTTTGAGCCATGTCACCAAAGCAAAATTGTCAACTATTCATTCAAAGAGCACAAAAAAGTTATGCAGCCATTACAAATAAGTTTTGTGCTGACTTCTAGTTTTCCCATCAGCACTCAGATATTGTGCTCCAAACATCAAAACAGGGACATAGATGCAACCAACCTCCATATACCACATGGAATTTAGAGTGTTTTGAGAAACCTAAAGAGAAGAATACAGAATAATTATAAAATTTCTTATTTTCCTCTCAACATTGTATTGTTGTTACAATTCTTGTAACTTTACTTCAATCTAAGTAAGGAATTAAATGCTAAAAACCTATCAGCATAGCTCTATGCTGCCTCCCTGAGATTCAATAAAAAGCTGTAAAACAAGCACATCAGTACTGGTGTTTCATCAGTTTTTGCCAACCTGGATGAAATTCATCTAGATTTCCAAGCATTAACACATAAAAATATATTCACCAGTGGTTTATGATTATTTCAAGTCAACAGATCTACGTGCATGTGTAATACTAAGTTGCTGTGAACACTGCAACTGTCTCTAGCTACATTAACCTTAGCTCAGCCAGGAGCTGATGAGAATTCTTGGTTCTATTTTATCTAAGACATAATAGCAACATTTCCGTTGTAGACTATCAGTATCTAAGAATGAGACACAAAACTCTTCAGATGTCAGGTTTGGTCTTAAAAAAATAAAAGTGACGGTCTCCAGACATTATACTCCTAATTATACACAATCACTTTCATGGTTAAAACTACTTAAACACTCACACTGTCTTCTTTCACCCAAACACAAAGTGAAGGAAGAAAAAGCAACAAAACTTTTACGTTTAAATTATTAAAAATAACTTTGTGATACTGTGTGAATTCTGGCTCACTAAAAAATGGTTCACAGGCAGCATTTTATCAAAGAGCAGGAAAGTAGTACTGACACTTCCTCTAGCACATTTTTATAGCTTTTCTTATTTATTCTTCTTTCATGATAGACTTCACATTGTTCTTCCTGCAAGGAACAGTTCGGCCAAATTCTGCTAAACCCACTAAAAGAAAATGGATGCAGCAGACAGAAATCTACTTAGCCCACACCAGCTAACAACCCATAATTCAACCTGAGAAGCTTCCAAAAAACAGCCCATTAAAAATATATGCTTGTCACTTTAAGAGGCAAATTTAAAGTTTGAGGTACAAGTGATTTACTGGACTATTCATTTGAAGCAGAAGAATGAAAAATTAATTATGATAGCCACAACAGAAGGAATATAAATCCAGAGCAACAGGACACTGCAGGGAAGGGAAGAATACTATGTCTCCAGTGAATTGTGAAGAAGTACAAAGGACAACCATCTCCTTCAGTGACTCAGGGGCAGCATTATCTCAGGACACAGGCCCCAGAGCCCCCTACTGTGATTATGAATTGCCCACATTAATTTTTCAAAACCATAACTTAAAGCAATTTCTTCATTCAACTGCTGGAAAGCAGCCCTTAATAATATATTATACAGTAACAATCTAGGAGTAATAGCTATGGCTAAAGTGATACCAGGATTCTATTATGGTATGATAATAATCGGTATTATTATATACCTGCTGGAGCAAGTCCAGAGGAGGGCCATGAAGATCAGAGGGCTGGCGCACCTCTCCTATGAAGACAGGCTGAGAGAGTTGGGGTAGTTCAGCCTGGAGAAGACAAGGCTCCAGGTACCTTCTAGCAACCTTTCAGGACTTGGAGAGAAATCCAGAGAGGGACTTTTTACAAGGTCACACAGGGACAAGACAAGGGCAAATGGCTTTAAGGTGACAGAGGGGAGATTTAGGTGACATATTAGAAAGAAATTCTTCACTGTGAGGGTGGTGAGATACTGGCACAGGGTGCCCAGAGAAGCTGTGGCTGCTCATCCCTGGCAGTGTTCAAGGCCAGGCTGCACAGGGCTCTGAGCAACCTGGTCTAGTGGAAGGTGTCCCTGCCTGTGGCAGGAGGGTTGGAACTGGAGAACCCTCAAAGTCCCTTCTAACCCAAACCTTTCTATGATTTACCTGTTTGGGATCACAACTTAAGAACTTAAGTTACCCATGTGCAGTCCCAATTAAGAGAGCAACCAGACTGGATCAGTCAGAGTTTATCATCTAATAACCACTTACATCAAGCGAGAGCTGTTCTGCAGGCTCCTTTGGCAGGGGTGGGTGTCAAGAACCCACCAAATGTGGAGGCTAGATACAGCTTTGAGGAACATTTCATGTCAGTGCACTATTATGGGAACAGGTATGGAATCACATAGAAACCAAAAGGATTGTTGGGCAGCCTATACCACAAATGGCCAAAGTGCTTTTGTTTGCTTTATAATAAAACTGATGCACTTGACACTTTTTTTCAAGTTATGCAGACTTATTAATCTGATGTTAACATATTTCTTAACTGGATGGTTTCTTTCTTATGTCTCAACTGTGAATGAAGTATTTTATTCAGACCTAATATTTTAGCCATACTTGATGCCATCTTGTAGGTTTTAGAACAAAAGTATTGGTGGATGCTGCAAACAAAAAAAAAAAAAACCTGGTCAAGAATTGGGTCTATCAGGATTTTTATTCTTGTATTAGAGGTTTTAAGAAGCAACCCTGGTTTTCTTCCAACCTCTCCTGAAGACCAGAAAATTCCAAGCTTTAACCTTGCTCCTTGCTTTCACTACTCCCACAAAAAGCTTCTTATTAAGAACTATAACCATCAATCATACATATGAAAATATTAACAAGACAACAGCAAATTCAAAAAACTCCATACAGAAAAAAGTCCCACACAGCAACACATTTACGCAAGCTAAATACTATTCTTTGTCTACTAACAAAACTAGTTTGATATGCTGTACTGGTTTTGGCTGAGATAAGGTAAAATTCCTTATAGTAGCTCCTATGGTGCTATGTTTCAGACTTGTGCTGAAAACAGTGTTGATAGCACAGGAATGTTTTCCCTATTGCTGAGCAATGCTCACACAGAGTCAAGGCCTCTTCTACTTCTCATCCTACCCCACCAGAGAGCAAGCTGGGAGTGCACAAGAAGCTGAGAGGGACACAGCCACGACAGCTAACCCCAACTGACCCAAGGGACATTCCACACCATTTGGTATCATGCTCAGCATATAAAGTTGGGAGAAGAAGCAGGTGACATTTGGAGTGACAGTGCTCACCTTCCCAAGTAACCACTAGGTGTGATGGAGCCCGACTCTCCTGCAGATGGCCGAACATGTGCCTGCCCACGGGAAGTGGTGAATGAATTCCTTGGTTTGCTTTGCTTGCACAAAAAGCTTTTAGTTTACCTACTGAACTGTCTTATCTCAACCCAGGAGTTTTCTCACTTATCCTTCCGATCCTCTCCACCATCCCAATATGGGGGAGTAAGCGAGTGGCTGTGTGGGGCTGCCTGCTGACTGGTGTCAAACCATGACATACGCTCACAGGCACAGGACTTCAAGTCTAACAGACAGGAGAAATTCTGGTAGGGCCAATTATAAAATGCCTCTTTTATATGAGCTCATATTAGGATCTAATGTAGGTATGCATACATAAAAATGTGTATGTAATCAAAAATGTGTCTGTAATTTAAGCACTTCTGTTATCAATAAAATACTTGTTATTATAGTCTTACAATTAATTTGGCTCTTCCAACTATCCACCACAACTTCATACAGAAGGCCCTAAAATCTTAATAATTCTGTTTTTAATAGTTCATGCCTACTGCCAAGTGACTTGTTTCCAGTTTCCTGCAATTCCCTTGTCAGCAAGAAAACCTCCGTGGAAAGTCAGACACATCCTAAACACTTATCTAAAGTGTGATAATTTACTGGTTTCCCATACACTCTAAATGCTGCAAAAGTCTTTGGAACTAATGAAAAATCTCTGAAATGCTGCAAAGCTCTGAAACACAACCCATAAAGGATCATGCCTGGTAAAGCAGAACATCCATTGTCCACTTGCAGTTTTCCCATTCTCTCCCTTGACTATACTGCGGTGACTCCTTCCAGCTGGCTGTGCCACAATCTATTCCAAGGCAATGCACCCCTTTCCCTTTACTTGCTCACTAGTCAGTTGCTCTTGAAGCTGAGCACTGCTCCTGACTGTTTTGAATGTTACTGATACAGCAGCCAGTCTCCAAATTAAAGTCTTACATACCAGAAAAATGGCATAACCTTCTACAGAAATACACCACATACCACTTTCTCAGGCTACATGCAATAGTTCAGAATATTCTACAGCCTTAGTTACAGCAAACCCAAACCATATAACAATACATATAAAAAAAATTAAAATCTCACTTGTTTTTAGTCCTCCAACATCATCTTGAGGCTGCTTTCACAGAATGGATTACCTTATGCATGCATACACAAAATCCGATTATGAATCATCGCATACTACGCTATAGTCTTAAGACTCATTTTGCACTGAGTGTTTTGCATGTATTAAATATATATTTCTTTTTTGCCTAAAAAGAAAATTACTTGCTAAATTAAGTCCAGTGAGAAACACAGAACTGAATGCTACATTATTCCTGCAATTGTCAGAGAATGTTATTTTCAATCTCAAAGCCCAACACCATAGAGCCATCTGCTCCAGTTCTACCTTACACATCAGCTTGGTCCCAGCTGACAAGGAAACTCATGCTTTCAGGTAGTAGCACAGCATCTCGTAAAGGCTCCATAAGCTGGGAGAAGCCTAAATCAATTCAGTGAAAACTAACAGTTGTAGAGCTAGCTCTAGCAGTTTCTTAGCAGGCTGCTAACTACTGATTTTTTAGGAAATCATGTGCAATAACACTGCTAAGAAATCCTATGGTACTGAAGCCAATCAGCATTTTCAGAGTTCTGTCAAGGGAGCTCTTACATAACACTGATCACAGTTATGGAACAATCTACAAGAAAATACTTATATTGGCTGAAACTTGCAAGAGAAATTCTCAATCTGGTATCGTGTAGGACTGAATTCACCTGACTGCTTTGAATAGATTCAGCATGGCAAGCTAGCAAACTGAGCCTGACTATCAACCTGACCTAGGCTAATACATACGCTGGCATTTTCCTTTTATTCCCTTGGAATCGCTTATCATGCAATTCTACAATTTGAAAAATTCTGCTTGTTAAAATCTGGCTCAACATCAATGCTGATGTTATCTGCTCAAATACTGTGTTCTGAATGTTTCTGATCGTAAGGGAAACAAAACTCCTCCCTCACTTTAGATGTCACATTTATATATTCTTTAAGTCAGAGCATCTCCTCTTTTTCTTACTATATATTATACTGACTTGACAGAACCTAGTTGCTTTTGTATACTCACCTTTGGGAGTATTAAAATCTCAAAACTGTATCTTATAAACACCACAATTCAAAGACTTTTGCATCTATAAATCAAAATACAAATCATACTCAAGCTTCGGGTGTTTTAAGAATACTCACCTGGTTGGGAAATTTATTCCTAATACGAGACCACGCTCCGTCTTTGTAGAAATACTGGGCTGGAGACAGAAATTTTGCCCTATATTCAGTGTTCATCTTCCTAAGAAATCAAGAATGAGAAGAGGAAAAAACAACAGAAAGAATAAAGCTTGATATCCAGAATACTCTTTAAGAAAACTGTTAAAGTTATATCAACAATCATAAATATACTTGCACTTAAATGTCAGCGCTAAGATGTGAAAAACAACAACTCATCCATAACAACACAACTAGGAAAGTGAGAAAAAGTCTCTTGCAGTTGGTGGCTCTTCAGGTAGTTACTCTTCCTGGTTTTTTTCCTCACAGCCCTTCTGCCAGGAACTTTTGCTCTGACAGCCAAATCAGTACAACACAATATACACATAAGCCTCAATTACTTGAATGCAAAGTGCAGCATCTTGGTTTAAATCACTGATAGTACTGCATTTAAGTAAAAACGCCTGGCAATGCGTCTGAGACATTTCCTTCTATGAACTCCACTCTAAATGCATTCTGCATATGGGCGGGGTGAACTGTTGGGGCTAGAAACATCTGACTACCAGAACAATGGTCAGTATAATTCATCCATGTCCTACTCGCTTTGATTTACAGAAGGCCTCGGTACTTGAAAAGATGGATCCATTTTCCTTTCTGCCACATACATACAAAGAAAAATTAACATCATCTAACCTATAGCAGGCAATAAGCAATACTTCAAGTTTTTAAACACTGAACCGAGAATTTATCAGCTTAAATCTGAAGAGATTTTTGTTTTTAATCTTGCTTTAAAACATTACTAACTTTAATATATTCAGCACTGAGATAAAAAAAACAACTCTTTTTCAGTCCTTCTTCAGAAATGGATCATAAAAGCCTGAAGTCAGAGAGTAAAATGCACCTTATAAAATGAAATATACCAATGAAAAAAATACCCAAACACTTTTTGTTCAAAATTTCTTTCAATACGCCCCTTTCTTTGAAACTGACAGAATTCCTTCAGTTTTGGTTGCAGAACTAATGAATTAGCTCAAAACCACATCACTGCTGTGTCTTGATGCCAGTCACTCTGCTGCAAAATCAGGCCATGCAATGCAGCTTGCATCAGAGTGACAGTCCTGTCTGCATACTGAGAACTTGTACATTTTGACAGCTATCTGCCCAGTGAACGTTTTGAAAACTTTTGTCTTGTGCTACCATCAAAGGCATAAGAGGCAGAAATTTGTCCTTAAATGAAAAGAAGCCATAGCAAAATATCAAGAACTTTACACACTACTCACTGCAAAATCGACTGTTATCTTCTACATCAAAAAGCTATGAAAACCAGAGTCGCAGGTTTTAACTATACTATCTCCACTCACTTTTTCATGAAGGAATTTTATGAAAATTTTCACAGAGAAATTTTCACAGTATTTTGAGTGATCATTTTGTAATTATCTCCCAATATCCAACAGCATTCAGACCTAGGTAAGTCTCCTCTCCCATCTATAATCTAATGCCTAAAATCTAACAGAAAGTGAATGAAAGCAATCACTGGGACATACACTAAGCGCAAAGACAGAAGAGAGGAATTAATTTATACATTTTAAAACCTGCATCCATTCTGTGCTTTTATGTCTTTTGGTGTATCTCAGATGTGTGGAAAATGGAAATGAGTTCAGTTCCTGCAATGTAGGAATGTGGGAAAAATATACTTTGATAGCGCTCAGTAACATATAATTTCATTTTCATGCTTGTCAGATTACCCTAAATGGGACCGATTTCTCTACTTCGCTTTACCTCATGTGTTTGCTTTTGTTACTGCAGGAGAGATGGTGACACAGACTAGAAAAAGCAGACATCAACTACAATCATCACAGTTTTAAGGCATGAAGCAAGCACAGGAGAGCAGTTTAAAAGGTGAATACAACTTCCAAAGCACTCACTGAAAGTTTAGCTGCACTGCAACAATTTAATGTCATTCATGTTAAATGTATTAATAGTAATATTATTGCATCAGAAGATTCAACTAAATGAGTATTATTAGAAAGCATCAACTTCCACTTCACAGAGAAGCACTGCAAGGGGGCACTTGCTCCTGCGACTGCAGCATGGCATGGTTTCATCCATCATTCGAAGTACTAGGCCCTGTACACCTAGTCACTAGTCTAAGTTTTCCTATTTTATACATACCCACGACTTGTATGTAAAGAGAGGGGCTTTGGATTGATATGTTGTTTATTTTTTTGTTTAGGATGTTCCTGTTCTGATTTCCCTTGTTTTGCTGCATCTTCTGCTGGCTTTTGAAACGGTTCTTCCCTCTTACTCTAAGGCAAAGATAATTTTAAAAATACCACATTAGCTCTCAGTCTGAATCCCCCTGTACTCCTTTTGACATCAAGCTTTCACAAAAAGTACATTTTTAGTTAGCTGCTTAGCGCATTTAATACAACCAAGAATATTACATTCCCTTGTTAATACAAACATAAACTAGCAAAACACCAAAGCTAAGATCCTGACTGCAACATTCAGTTAGTCAGATGATCCGCTCTGTAAACTTTACAAAATGAGTTTAACACAAAACACATAAGTAAAATAACACAATACCTGTGTATTCTAACCTGAGCTGTGCAAGACTTAACATGCGTATTTCTGGAATTTGTAGTAAAATAGAAAAATAAAACAAAAAAACCTAAACACCAAACCTCTTAGCATAATAACAAAGCAATATAAAGGAATTTATTATAAACCAAACTTTTAATTTGTTGTCACTCTCATTTATAAAAGGTCAAATTGACTTGTTCAATTTTCACATCAAAGAGTTTTCTTTCCTTGCTTATTTTATCCTCTCAGAAATCTCACACACGATTTCTGATTCTGCAAGAGATCTTCACAGTTATTGATCAGATTCAAGAAAAAAATGAAACAAACAAACAAAAAAAAACCACCAAGAGAAAATCCCACCAAAATTATCAAAGACTTTTCCAAGACCAGAATACAGCTATCAGTATAAACAAAAAGTGTTTCAGACACTCCCACCAAAATTCCCTTCTCATATATTCTCTTTCTTCCCTTTATTAGCTATCTTGGGAAAACGTAACCTGAATTTCCAGTGTTAAAAACACAGAAATGCTTCCTGAAAGCCTCATGTCGTCTTCTAAAAGAGGTAAAAGGAGACATAAAATTCCTTATTCCCAGATAAGATTTAAACCACTGGGCAGGTCTCAATTTTAAATTATAAAGCCTCCAAGTCAACAATCATCTTTATCTGGTAAAACAGCCAGACCCATCATTCCTAAAATCTCAGGTCTGTCCAAGCCACAGCAAGACAAGGAAATGCAAGGCCTCGCACAACCATATTACTTCCATAAAATACATTTAAATGTTTTGAACTGAGTAACAAAGCCTACATAGACTACACAAGGTCCTGTTAGAGCCTTGTGCTAAATAAAATTAATTACCCTTCTACCTTTCAACTTATCAAGGCAAAGGGAAACAAATTGTAACCCTTCCTCTACGTTTCTACAAATTACGATTGGCTGAAAATAAGTTCTAACTGTGGCACCTTTCATACGTCAAAATATTTGGTTTCTATTCACACTGCGTCTGATTTATGAGATTCAAAAAATTCCAGACTCCAAACATCTAGCACCTCCTGCAAGAGATTAAACTGGTACCAACAGGAGTACAAATCAGAGATTTACGTTTCAGAAACTGTTCTAATGACTAAAAAGCAAGTTTCAATTAAAAAAAAAAAAAAAAAGAAAAAGAAAATCCACTTGAAAGCTCATAAATTAGGGTGCCAGGAAAAACACACTGAAAATGTCACTGTAAACTCAACAAATGCGCTACAGAAACTACAGAACTCACTATAGAAACCCCGTAAGAGCAAATAGAGCTGCAGAGGGTTATTATTTTTAGTCTTTTATAGCAAAACCACTACTGAGTCCAGCTCTAAAATGTAACTAAAAAATTCAACATAAGCTCACCCCTGCATTCTAGAAAACAACAAATCAAAACAACAGGAAGTAAATAATGCCTTTCTTTTAGGAAATTTTTACTTGTTCACAAACCGGAAATTCTTTCTCTTCTGAACCACCTCTCTCTTGTGGACCATTAACAGAAGGAGACCTTTTGAAATTTCTCTCACATGCAGTTTCAGAAGTAATTGCAGGAGTTTTACCTGTGTTGCAAATAACCTTGGGAGGGAAGAAAACAAAGGTGTGATTTGCTTACCTTAAGGCTAAATTTTCAAAATCAGTTAACCAATTCATGCAGATTAACATATGAGCAGAGAGACAGTTGTGCACAAATACATCATGTGCAGGCTAATTACCTTCTAAGACAAATTGAAAACAAACTACATCCAGTAAAAACACATTTAAAAGTGACCAAGTCAGACACAGTTAAACCTATGGTCAAACATTGTTCTTACTGAAGTGCACCACCAGACTTTCTGTTCATTTGGGAAGACAGTTCACCTTCACAGTTTCATGTAGGAACATATTTTTTCAAGCATATGCCATAACTTTCCTATGAGTCTTAAGCACATGTGCAGTCCATAAGTAACAGACAGCTGCTCTGTGTTTGAGAATTGGATGATTAAGGCTTGGGTAATTTGAGCTACCTACTATTTTCCAATCAATATTGTATTATAAAACAAGGTAGAGAATTTGCCTAATACGTGGTCAGGTATCATCTTATCATGGGGTGCTGAATTAAAAGGCCATGCCATATGCCACAAGCATATGCTTTCCCCAGCTTTGCTATGGGACTTTAGGTCTGGCTTGTAACCTAACTTGGGTAACTTTAATATTTCCATAGAATCTCTTCAAGGGAAAGGTACTGCAATTATTCAGTATTCAGATATATTCTCCATTATATCAACAAAAATCTAACCAACATCAGTTTGTTAATACGTATAATTTTTATCATTAAATTCTAATCTAAAATTTAGACTCTCCAAACATTTATATCTGTTAGGATTTTCTCTTAAGTTTTATTTATCCTATGATTTACAGTGCCTACAGACTTACTCTTACAACTTTTTATTCTGTGTAAGATGTGAAAAAGTTTGCTCTTTTAGATTTTAGTCTTTCTTCTGAAACAGCACAATGTTCACAAGCTTATTCATCAATAATGAAATGTGTAAGAAAGTGCACCATTTGTAGTAATCCCACTAATGTATATGCTCCTAGTGAAGAAACAGAAGACAAAATAAAAGCAGAAGTGCCTATTTTATACTGTAAAATGACCAAAAGAGAGGCGGACTCTCCTAAGTACTGATCCCAGTAACAGTGAATTGAAAACACAAAGCAGTCTCACAACCAGAGTTACTATTTGTGGTCTGATTAGAAGTAGCAGCATTTCCAATCCTACAAAGTTCAAAAACTCATGAGATATATTAAAGTGCCACAAGAGTATCATAAAATCTAAAGACTCCTCTTTAAATATAAGCAGCTCTTATGAAAGAAAAAAAAACACTAGAGATGCACTTTAGGGCTCAGAAGTATATACGCACAGAGACAGAGACTGAAGAAACAGTGGTAACCCATAGAAGACCATAAGAATAAATAGTGAAACCTGAATTATTTCAGTGGCAAGACATGTTGTTGCAACACAGAACACCTGAACATGCCTCTGTTACTAGTTATATACTACCTAACATAAAAATGTTAAAAGTGAAGGGTAACACTAAGTAGGATCTTAGAGCTCCTAAGGCACATCAATGCAAAAAGAAGAAAATAGTCCTGTTATAAAGGACAAAACACAACCAGGCATAAGGAGAATGAGTAACTAGACCTGACTACAATAAAGAGCAATAGGAAACTAATTATACTGTACTTTTGTATATTAAGGAGGAAAAAAAAAATTATCATGTAACAATATTCATGTTTGTCATTCCCCTGACAGAAGTGGAAGAAAGGAAATCTCAGAAGGTAAGCAACTTTGGTGATACATAAAAGAAAATATTCATTTACTTTTTGGATTCTTTAAAGTTACCTGTTCAGCTGCAAGTATCGGTGACTTTTCATGAGGATTCTTCCAAACAAACTGGCTTTGATATTCAGAATTTCTGGGGAAAGTATATAAACGTGGAATATTCATGCCTGCTTTCCTCTGAAGGACTCTCTGAAGCTGACAACAAAGAAAAAAACCCAACTGGTGGTTCCCCTTCCTACAATGTCTGACAAGTCAGGTATCTTTCAATGCACCCTTTCAAATCAACAGTTTGGGGTTTAGTTGTATGAAATTAAATTAATGCAAAGTACATTTTCTCATTATAGAAACCAACCCCAACAATACAGAATTGGCCAAAACCTTGTTTAAGTGAAATCAACAGTGATGGCACATGAAGGGCAAATTCCCATTGACCGTAGTGGAACCATAATCTGGTCTCATAAGTACTGCTCCCCTAACAACAAAGCTACAACATGGAGTATCAAAATACAGAACTAAGGAGAGAGTTAGACAATAGAGGCTGATATATGTGCATTAAATTATTTCAAGTATAAAATTAATAATTTCTAAACTGGCCAATTAAAAAAAAACTTTAAATTTTCCCTTACCCCATTACCCATTTTTTCTAATTCCTTTTTTGGAGATGAAAATACTTCATTTTGATTTGGTGGAGCTGCAGATGGTGATTTTTTCATGTGGTTTTCTGCAAGGGCAAGAGCTGTTTCACCTCTCGAATCTACTGTATGTGACCGAACTTCTGAGGGGAGTCTGGGCCCTTTTGGCATTTCAGTATTTTCCCCATTCACATCATTCACATTGTTGCTGTGGCCTGTGTGCAACTCTGCAGTCCTCAGAGCTTCACTTTCAAGTGGGTCATTCAAATCACAATCTGCTGTCCATTCGAAGTACTTTGAAATCTGTGGATTATGGTAAGGCACCCTTCTCTTGGAAATGAAGTTTGGTTCTCTTGTGATTCCTGAAAAAGACATACTAGGTTTAATAAAAACATTCTATTGAAGACTTAGTTTATTCTTGTAATAGAGTGATACTATAAGTTTATCATACAACTTATTAGAAAAAAGTATTTTAATATCCTTGAACAATAACAGCCTATGAATTACTGGCACAGCTGTGAAATTCTGTCTTTCTTCCTATTTGTGACCATCTTTCCTTTCCACTAAAGAGAGGCAGGAGCATGGTGCTCCAGGACCATGTTGGATAAAACCCTATAAAGCAAATACGGCCACAGGACAACCTTTTGCGAACTGATTCTAGGAGTTGAACAACAGCAAAACTAACACAGCCAGTAAAAGAATGTGGTTAACACATATGCAGAATAACCAATCTGCAATGCTAGAGTATGCCAGAAACATTTCTCATTACACATGCACATCACCTCTGAAGAGGTTCTTAATGATTGTGACAGGACAGTGACAGATCCTTATACATGTAATACAATGCTGATTTAAAACCATCTCAGATAGCTGGTGACTTTTTACAGTATGAATACCAAAATAACTTCAAAATTGTAAAAAGACTGTGACAAAACCAGCTATCAAGTTATTTTAAAGAATTGCTGGCCTCAGCAAACATAGATGAAAATAAAATTACCCCACCGTTTTAAGAACAGGATTGAATGACTGAAAGCATTTAAAGTGGGAAATCATAATCCAACTGTAAAGTGCTCAGCTGTGACAGAAAAATAAGTGAAGGTCCCTAACTGACTAATGAAACACTTTCTAGGCTAGAGAGAAACTTCTACCTCATGAAAATCTACGTAGAAAAAGAGAGAACAAACAATGGTGACAGGTATGCAGAATGTTTGGATGTCTACCTACACATACAGGTAGTAGGAAACAATTCCAGTGGAAAAACTGAAAAAGTATCAGGGAGGAAGTCAGAGTACCTGCAGCTGTTAACTTCTTTGGGCGATGGTCCAAGTCATCCTTAAAACTGCCAACTATGTGTTTCAACTGGAAGAACTGTAAGTGAACTATCAATGACAATCTGCAACTCCTATGAGGTGGCAAGAGTGACACCTGAAGACGTAATGGTTAAAAGGCCAGAAAAAAGGTGGGAGTGAAAATTAACACAAAGATGTAGGAAAACTACACCAAGCACAAAAAGCCTGCTACAACATGAGGAGGTAAAATTTTTGTATTTCTAACTCATGACTTTATTGCAAGTCTTGTAAAATTTGCAGTTTAGTTTGATGGTAAAGAAGCACTGATTACAATTTGGAAAAGAATATGTTTAAATGTTTGTAAGTTGTGGAATTTATACAGGTACCCATAGGCAGACACACGTGGTAGGAAAGCAAAGTTAAAAAAATATGTATTTTGCAGTAACGGAAAAAAAGCAGTAATGCATATAAAGCATATTATTTAGGAAGATTAAATTATTTATTAAAATATCTAGCTTCTCAACTAAAAACAAACCTTATTCCCAGTGGTTGGTTCTTAATTACCAGTCTGCAATTTGGAATGTTTATACTGTAGGAATGAATATATTGGACTCTCAATTACACAGACTGTGTAGTGCAGTTGCACTAGATTGCAAAAGTGCTACTGCAGTAATTCCTATTTTTTACTGCTCCTTTTCAAAGCACTGCAGTTGTCATCACCCTCCAGCTTACTCCTACTCCTCAACTCCCTACAGGCCTTTGAATCCGGACGCCAATTCCTTTGTCTTCTACTTCCCAAGCCTGCATTTTCCTGCCACAATAATGTCTACAACCCCTAACTCCTACATTACAGCACCACAACCTTTTCCATTCAATGCTCATCTTTTTGTTGTTTTTTTCAGTTAGCTGTTCCTGTTAGTTTTCATGACAATTTTACTTTGTAGCAATTTTGCCCAAATCAGTCTCCTCTTACATACAGAATTTTACTTACTGTTTCCATGCTCTACAGGTAACCCAGTGTCTCCTACACACCCTATATGGGTTAACACTGCATGCATGCTTCATGTTTGAGACTTCGTTTATGCCGCATGTTAGGAAGTATGTTTTCAAAAGTAACACTAACATTAAAAGGTAGAAAGAATATGGCATCCAAAGACATACTCTAAATGATAACCAGGAACGTATCTTTACTGTATAAAGTGCACAAATTGCAAACACTATCAGCTCATTGTGGCCATGTATTCAATCACAGCAAACCTTTCCAGGCTTGCAGCCCCGCCTCATCCTTATCAGAGCCAGCTCGGATTTGCAATCAATGGGGCAGCTTTTCAGGGCACTTGCTTACCAAACTGATCTGACCGGAGTCCTGCCCACAAGGATTTCTGCTGCTCGGACGGACTACAAAACTCTGGGGTTTTCCATCTGAAGTTTCTCTTATATTCACTCAGCCCCTGCAGTAAACAGAGAGATGTCTGTTAAGTGACCGGTGCACATTCTGCTTCCCAGCGTCTGTTGGCAACAGATCTCCAAGGGGAAAAACACCAACAAGGCCGCAGCAGGATTCAGCTATGCATGTGCAAACAACCCCTCTTTACCTTCTCTCCGAAGAGCAAAAACTACTTGACTGCTATGGAGAAAAAGCGCGAAATAACTCCATGCACAAAAAGTACGCAAAAGACTTGTTTACATCTTTACGTGAATAAAGTTTCAGGAACAAACACAGCCAGATCCCGCTGTCACCGACACGACTGAACTGTTTCTGTCTTTATTAGCGCCTTAGCGCAAAGGTCTCCCCTTTACCGCCTCGCCGGTGGCACCCTATAAGCGACTGCACCCCCTCCCTCCTCCTGCCGGCCGCAGAGGCCCACCGGGCTCGCTACTTCCCTCGCCCGGGCCCCGGCCCACTCGGGCGCGCACACAGACATGGGTGGATACACACACAACACCCCCCACCGCCCCGCCTCACCCTGAAGCGTACGGGCATGGCGGAGCGCAGACTGCCGGACCGCAGCCCTCAACGCCACCGCTCCCCTGGTAAACCCGCCGGCCTTGCCCAGCCCGCCTCGGCCTGCCACGCCTTCCTTCTCCTCCCCTAGCCTAGCCTAGCCTAGCCTCGCCTCACGGAGCGCCTGCGCGGCCGCCCGGCAGAGGGTGGAAAGTTCCGCGCTTACCAGGGCCGCCGGTTCCCCTCACCGCTTTGCCCTCGGGGGCCATGTTGGCCGGGGGCGGTCTTTGCCTGTGGTCACAGCGCTGCTGTGGGGTTGTGTTGGCTGGATGCCGCCGCCGCATTATCCATATTAAAACTCTTTTCCCCTACCTGCGGCAGGATAACGGTGTTATATCGCCGGCATCGTGTGTCTGGGGAAGGACGATGGGGAGTCGTGTGCGCCCAACGGCGTGTCAGCAGCGCGGACCACTTAGTGCTAACGCAGCGCAAGGGCAAGGAAATACTGAACGCCTGGTTAAAAAAGAAATGCACGTCCGAACTCGCAGCACTATGTTGCTACAAACCCAGCATTTAGAGAAAGAAAAAATAGGTTTAGTTACCTTTCTGGAACCTGTGCGATGGATGGTATGCAGCTGCCAATCCTCAGCAACCTCGCCCGACCTCGCTGTGTGGTCAGATCCTAATCCACCTTCGTCAGATCTCCTCAGGGGCTCGCGTTTTTAACTGCCTTCCCAGTGCTGTTCTCCATCCTGACTCTGGCTATATCAGATGAAAAAGAACTGAGAAGGTGGTAAAAAGAGCAGTAAAACAATCACAGATTTATAGAATGGTTTGGGTAGGAAGGGACCTTAGTCTTCATCTAGTTCCAAACCCCCTGCCATGGGCAGGGTCACCTTCCACTACAGTGGGTTTTATATGTCTATATATGTGTGTGTGTATATATATATATATATACATATAATAAAAACCAAAATTACTTAGGCAGTTTTGTTTCCTCTGCCCATGGCTGCTGAGCCTCCCTTTCTTCCTTCTTAGTAGGACCCGTTGCAGGTGCCTGATGCCTCTAGGGCAGCATAAATTTACTGAGTAAGGGCTTTGACACCTCTGCAAAACACCTTGCCAGTGATAGGAGGAATGACTTGGTGCCGGTGCCACTGACTTACATAGAGTTTAGGTCGAGTCAGACGCTGTGGAAAAGGTGAGCAGCATTTTTTTTACCACTGATGTGAAGGAGAGAGTACCAATCTGTAATGAAAGGCTTGCAAGCAAAGTTAAATGTTCTTCTGCTATGTAAGTTTCATACATCTTTATAATGAATTTCAAGATCAAGACAATAATGTTGGTAGAATTTGTGTGCTGATTACACTCAAAACTGCTAGATCCACCAAATAAAGTAGTTTGTTTTATTACTACAGTGGTTTATTTCATAAGGTTCAATCAGGTCTAGTTCAGTACGTTTTGTAAAGAAGTGCTCAAACTTGCTACAGAAAGTTTGCCAGCTGGCAAACTCCTTCAAAATAGATTCCAGGTTTGCCAGAATCTCTCCTCTGATATGGACACCAGGCCAATCATTATTTCAACATGTTCTTAGGGTCTTCTCCAATTAAGCAAACTATAACAATGCATTTATAGATGGTTTCGGGCTGTCTGGATTCAGAGATGGGTTTCATTCTTCAATGCAGAAACATGACACCACACACCCTGAAATGCAGGCTTTTATATTTCTTAACAATGTCTTTCCCTTTTTTAAAGATAAAGCAAAATAAATTATCCTGAAACAATGGAATTCACATTCCTCTATAAGCACTGAATAATATAAATTGCATTTTAAATCTTCTCCTTACAGCTAAGAGATAGAAATAGTTTATGTGGAGGAAGCACTTCAGTAAATATGTCAACCACTGAGCTTCTAGGATGTTTATGCTCTTTATCCCTACTGATATCTACTAGCTACTTCAAGTTCAATGTATACACATTAATGACCACACAGTTATTCAAGGTAATGTAATGTAAGAATGCTAAAATGCTTAAGCATTTATTTTCATATACTTTCATAGCAATATTTTCATATGAATGCTGCATAAATAATGAAATCATAAAAATGGATCCATGTCTAGAAAAAGTTACAATGCATTCACAAACTCATAGTCTTGAAAAGAAAGAAAAGATTTTTCCCAGGTTTCTGGGGAAAAAAAAGCAAACCACCAAACCAAAACCACCCCAACTTAACTGGGACTGATGCATCCCTCAGTAGCTGGTCGTATTATTTATTAGATCCAATTGTTTAAAAAAATAGGCACTTAAAGCTTGTGTTGCTGCATAACACATTTAAATAGTTTTGAGCTCAAGCCACTTCACATTTCTTTAACACTTGAGAGGTTGATCATCTTCCTGCTTTATTTCCTGTAAAGCAAATATAAGTATTTTATTTTACCTTGCTAATACTCCAGATTTAGCTCTCGTTGCTATTCTTCAAATGAATCAAAAGATGTGGCTTCTTTTGCTAAACCACGTATGAAAATTCTTTTAATTTTTTTATCTATATCTTTTTAAGTGGGTAATTTGTGACCCATATATTTTTATTTTCACATTGTTTGTTTGCCTGTTAGCTTCACTACATCTTTCTGCCCATCCAGACCCTTGTCTTTGACCTTCTCTATCTCTGGACCCCAGCTCTCTTGAAGAGCTTGATTAAATTAGATTTTCTTTGATCACCTTTAACTTGAACTTCAGCCTGTGAATAGCTGTCTATTAAGTCTGACTAAATGGGGACCTTTTCATGACCTCTTTCTCAGGATGCTTGTAAATTTTTTATACCACAGGCAGCTCTTCTTTAAAGACTCAGTAACCTAAAGTCTCTGTCTTTTCTTTTGCTTTAACATTGATGGTACCTCCTGCCAAAACTCAAAGCATGATGTGTCAGCAGTCCTCTCTCCAGCCAAAGAAGGCTAGACACAGCTTGCTCTAGAGCCTGTCAGATCCACTCCATGTGTCAGCCTGAGGGAATCAAATGAGAGCAATGAAACGTGTTTTCTTCCTCCAGAGTCTGTAGCCTCTGGCACCTACTGGTACAGGAGCAAAGGAGGAGCAGTAGCACAGCTGGCTTGGCTCAAGTCCCATGGTTTTACTCTTAATAGCACATGTTTCTCATGCAAGCTTGCCCCAGCTTATTTCACAACTAATTTAGAAACTGCAGTGTTAAAACTACTTTAATTTTAGTATTCATTTCAATCCCTTTTTCAAGTGACAGAGCTAATCCACCAGTCATTAAAGGGCAGCGTTTAGTTGCTTGCAGGGGTCTGGATTCAAAGATACTCCTGGCTTTGTGTCTAAGTAGTGGTTCTTGAGCTTGGCAGAAGTGTTAGCTGTTACCATCTTAAACTCATCTGTTCCTCTGGTACAATTTCATGGTGAAATGCAGAGAAGCCTAATGTAGTTCATCTTTCTAACCATAAAAGAGGTCATAAAATGAACATGAAATGTGGATAGACAGGTCCAACTCTCAGCCCACCATCCACTTTCTTGCTCACTGTGCTCTGTTTCTTCAGGCAAAACACAGAAGCAATTGCTGCCTTTTAGAACTTCATCCTTTACCCACCAAATACAAGATACATACAGCAGAGCTTTCCATAACCAGGGCCTGCCAGCCTCTGTGGCAACCCAGTGGGATCGTGAAACTCCAAAATGCCTCAGATCAGGCTACTTTTCAAATCCACACCCTTAGCCTTTTTGTTATTCCTCCCTCTCTGAAGTGAGAATAACATGAGATTCATAACCAGTTTGGTATCTGCTAATCATGAGCTTCTGTTGATTATAAAAGCACAAGATTTTTCTTTTAAATGTTTTTTTTTAAAGTATTCAGGTTCAGAAACAACAAAGTATTTCACATGTGAGTAGCTGATGCAAGGGCAACAGTGGCTGACTTAATTTCTTACATTAGAAGAAAAAGGAAAGTAGGAGAGCATGTGTCATTTTGATCTAGTTTTGATCTAATGTTTGCCTCGAGAGAAGAGTGAAACCACAGCTGCTTATCCTTCAGCAAAGAAGTATACACCTAACTTGTAGCCATAAACAATAATGATCTATGTTTCTCTGGAAACACAGGGTCATTACTTCACTTAATCCTTGATATTTGTGCAGCTCTACACACTTGGTCATTACCGATCTACATGACTGTTCATAATGCAGAAATCATCTCCTTTTGTTTTTTAAAAGTGTGTTTAGATTTACACACTACAGTAGCAAAATCGTGCAGTGCTGGCATAAATAATCTGTTATGACAAGCCCTCAGGGAATAACTCCTGTTGGCAGGATGTGTGTCATCCCGGGATGGTCTGATGCATCATTAACTGCACCGTAACAATGAAGACATGAGCTTGGCCTCGGGTGTCTCACGGCTCGGGTGGGCCAGCTCAGCTTTGTTGGCAAGGTAATACAGTTTAACTTCAAAAGGGAAGGCGAAGAGGATAATAGTCACTGTGGAGGGCTATCTGTGAGACAGCCAAAGCTCTCTATGGTGTATTAAGAGAAGGATTTGAAAGACATACTGAACTTTCTGTTAAATTAAACTTGTCATTTTAATTTTAATTTCTTGCTTTGTGTGCTGTCTGTAACAAGAATCTGCTATCCATTGGTGCTATACACATACATCAGTAAGAAATCACATTTCCGTGATGCTGACTCATAGCCATTTAAGGAGGGAAGGCTCATTAAGGGAATGGGAATTAGCCACACTGTCCAAAGGAGAGTGTTCTTTACCTTTGGGAATCCAGATGTGAGCAGCTTTCCCTCTTCCCTTGCACTCCTGGCAGTGTCCTTTAGGAGGTGGACAGATGGAAGCTTATTTCAACAGCTTGTAGAACAGAGTGGAAATGTTCAAAGAAGTTCAGGTTTTTTACATCTAGTTCATCTGGCAACATTGTGGTAAAGGAACATCTAAAACTTGTTGCAGCCTTGATAATAATGATCTATCAGTGCAGATTTGCCAGTGTCTGTCAGCTGTGCTGATACCTGTATCTTCCCTCTTTTCTATTAAAAAAAAAAATGCAATAGAGTCGTGGTTTGAAAACAAAATGTACGTAAAAGTACTGTGGTTTATAGT